CAATATGTTTTTAATTTGGAGTTGTAATATGAAATTGTTCCATAATATATACCTACAAGCAATTTATGTTAGAAACTTGATAAATCTAATAATATATGTTATGTTTTGAGTTATTACAATTAAACGTATCATCGTATTAGTTAAGCTTGCCAGATTATTTGGTATTTGTCTATGTGCTGGAAAAGATTAGAAATTTTGGTTCATCCGATAGTTTTTATTAGGTTTACTTGTTGTTAGCTGTTTTGGTTTGTTATACGTTTGTTACTATTTCTTTGTTTGTTACTATTTCTTTGTAACAGTTTTCTGTAACTACGTCTATTTAAAAGACCTCAAGGAATTAATGGAAAGTAATTCAATTGCCTCAACATTTCATAACTTCCGCATTCTAATATGGTATCAGAAGGTAACAATCCAGACCTTCAAACCTTTCATGCATAAAAGCTGTGTTTTCCTACTCTTAAACCTATTTTTCTTCATCACCATGACTGAACCCACTCCACCTGAAACCATCAAACCTTCAGATATTCGTTCTCCTCTATATCTTTCCCCAGCTGACAGTCCTGGGGTTCTTCTCATTAACATCTTGTTACGTGGTGACTCCAATTACGATACATGGAGAAGAGCCATGAAAAATGCGCTTGATGCCAAAAATAAGTTAGGTCTCATCCTTGGATCCATCCAAGCTCCTACTAACGCCAATTCTGATGAAGGTCATGCTTGGCGTATGTGCAACTCGATGATATCTGGGTGGCTTCATAATACTATCGACCCTCAATTACGTCCTTTCATAAAATATTTTCCTACTGCTAAACAGCTTTGGGATGATCTCAAGGATAGGTATTCTGTGGCTAATATTCCCCGAATCTATCAACTCAAAAGTCTTCTTCCAAATATCAAACAGCAAGGCTCTTCTATTAGTTCCTATTACACACGCCTTCGTGCCATTTGGGACGAACTTGGGGAACATTACACATCTGATCCTTGCTTAAATGGGGATCAATGTCCTGTTACCAAGCTTCTCAATAATATTATTACCAATGATCAGGTGTATCAATTTCTCATGGGCCTTGATGAAGCTACTTTCGGAATAATCCGTTCACAAATTCTCAACACCAATCCGTTACCAACCTTAAATCGTGTGTATTCAATGGCTACTCAGGAAGAAACTCATAAAACCATCGTTCGATCATCACCTGATCAAGCTGATGCTGTTGGTTATGCTCTTCAAACACACGCTCCTGCACCACCTACTGCCAAATCCGCTTCCCAAGTTCGCATATGCTCTCATTGCGGCCGTCCGAATCATGATATTTCTCGGTGCTTCTTTCTCCATGGTTTTCCTCCTAAAACCACCGGACGTGATCGTTTCAAGCCAAAGAGCACTCCTGTTTCAACTCATGCTGCGATTCTGCCTACGCCATCAGCAAATCATGTTGCAGCGTCCAGTCCAGCCTTAACTCCTGACGTGGTGCAACGTCTACTTTCTCTTGTGGACAAGCCAAACAATGAATCTCAACAATTAACTGGTAATGTTGCTATTCCCTCTTGGTTAGTAGATAGTGGCGCCTCTCAACATATGACAGGTAACATTAACCTGCTCAACAATATTGTTCATATTGCTCCAACTCAAGTTGGTTTGCCAAATGGTTCTACCACTATTGCTATCCAAGCTGGAACCGTCTATCTAGCCTCACAGATAACATTGCATAATGTTATGCTTGTTCCTAATCTCACATGCAACTTGATTTCTGTATCTCAGTTGTTACAAGCATCCTCTTCTGTGATTACATTTACCAAAACTGAATGTTTGATGCAGGACCTCACCCAGAAGATGCCGATTGGATTGGGTAACTTGGTTAATGGAGTATATGTGTTTCAGCCGTCCAAGCATCAAGCATTTGCCACTCAAGCTGATTCTACCTTATGGCATCAACGTTTGGGACACCCTTCACATGCTGTTTTGTCATTAATTCCTTGTATTTCGTTGCCTCTTAGCAAAAATAAAGATGTTGTTTGTGATGTCTGTTGTCGAGCAAAAATGACTCGATATCCATTTCCTTTAAGCAATAATAAAACCACTGCTTCTTTTCAACTTGTGCATTGTGATGTATGGGGACCGTATCGTTTGTCTACAATTACTGGAGCTCGTTATTTCCTCACCTTGGTCGATGATTATACTCGAAATACATGGGTATATCTTATGACAGAAAAATCAGAAACTTATAATTTAATCAAACGTTTCCTTACCATGATCCAAACACAATTTGCCACCATGGTTCAAGTATTTCGAACAGATAATGGCACTGAGTTTCTCTCTTCTTCTATGCATAAGTTATATTCCGATCGTGGGATTGTTCACCAAACAGCTTGCATCGATACTCCTCAACAAAATGGACGAGTTGAAAGAAAACATCGAACCATTCTTAACGTTGCTCGAGCTCTCCGTTTTCAGAGTAACTTACCTGTTGAATATTGGGGAGAATGCGTACTTACTGCTGTTCATCTTCTCAACAGCACACCTAGCATAAACCTTGCTGGCAAAACTCCATTTGAACTTCTACATGGGCATTCTCCATCATATTCTCATTTACGTACGTTTGGTTGCTCATGTTACGCCGTGGTTCGTCCCAAACGTACTGACAAGTTTGCTGCTCGTTCTACAAAATGTGTGTTTCTTGGTTATCCGTTTGGAAAGAAGGGTTGGCGTTTAATGGATCTTGACACACGCAAAGTTTTTGCATCCAGAGATGTCATTTTTCAAGAGACTATATTTCCTTTCATTTTGGATTCAGCATGTGCTCCACCTGAGTCTCCTCATGAAGTGCAATTGCCTTCCCATATACTTCCAGTTCATCACCATCCCTTGGGAGTTGTATCTCCTCATGTTCCTCCACCAGATCAGTCTTCTTTGGTTTCAGAACAGACTACCTTGGATGACAGGGGGAGCAATTCTCCTTCGTCCTTTGCTGAAGACACTGGTGCACAGGAAGCATCATCCGAAATTGCTTCTCCTACTCAGCAACAAAACCAAGTGTTCTTGCCTAGAACTCATAGGAGCCGTCGTCCCCCACGATATTTGGATGATTATTCTTGTCATTCTGCACAAACACATATACTCCATCCCCAGTCTCCTACTCCATCCGCTTCTTCAGGTGTCAGGTACCCCATTCAACATTTTCTTTCATACAAACCTTTTACTGTAAAACATAGACATTTTTTGGCAGCATTATCTACAGAAGTCGAGCCTCATTCCTATAAAGAAGCCGCTGCTGATACACGCTGGTGTGTGGCTATGCAAGCAGAAATTAAAGCTTTGCAGGATAATAATACTTGGACCTTAACTACTCTTCCTCCAGGAAAGCATGCCATTCCATGTAAATGGGTTTATCGAATCAAATACAAATCCGATGGTAATGTGGAACGGTTTAAAGCTCGTCTTGTAGTAACTGGAAATCAGCAAGTTGATGGAGAGGATTTCATGGAGACATTTGCTCCGGTTACTAAAATGGTGAGTGTTCGCACTTTTCTATCAGTTGCAGTTGCTAAAAATTGGGACATTCATCAATTAGATGTCCATAATGCCTTCCTCCATGGTGATCTCAATGAAGAAGTATATATGCGACTTCCTCAAGGGTTTCATGCTAATAATCCTTATCAAGTGTGTCGTTTGCGAAAATCCTTATATGGCCTTCGACAATCACCACGCAACTGGTTTGCAAAATTATCTTCATCTCTTCTCAATTACGGGTTTATTCAGTCAAGGGCAGATTATACACTTTTTACTCTAACCCGAGGTGAAACATTTTTAGCTGTACTCATTTACGTGGATGACATTCTTGTAGCAGGCAATAATGTAGATGCTTGTCGCAAGCTTAAATTATATCTCAACTCTTGTTTCCAAATCAAAGATTTGGGTCCATTAAAATACTTTCTTGGGATAGAATTTGCACGCAATTCTTCTGGTCTGTTTATGTCTCAACGAAAATATGCTGTTGATATTCTAAGTGAAGTTGGTTTACTTGGATGCAAACCCACTGAATGTCCGATTGAGCAAAACCACAAGTTTGCTACTGTGGTTGGTCCTGATTTCGATGATCCTACCAGATATCGTTGACTCATTGGCAAATTGGTTTACTTAACTATTACACGACCTGAGCTTTGCTATGGTGTCCATGTTCTCTCCCAGTTCATGCAAAAACCGAAAGAAGAGCACTATAATGCAGTTTTGCGGTTACTACACTATGTCAAAGCTAATCCTGGCCAAGGTCTTTTGCTGTCATCAAATTCTGATCTTCAACTCTATGCTTATTGCGACTCAGATTGGGCTAGTTGCCCTCTCACTCGCAGATCACTCACTGGGTTCTTCATCCAACTTGGTTCATCTCCTATCTCTTGGAAAACCAAGAAACAACCTACAGTGTCTAGGTCCTCAGCTGAAGCGGAATACCGCGCCATGGCATCTGTAACTTCTGAGTTAATATGGCTTAAATCTTTCCTTGCTTCATTAGGCGTTCTTCATTCATCCCCTATGAAGTTGTTTTGTGATAGCCAGGCTGCTTTGCATATTGCCGCAAATCCTGTGTTTCATGAACGTACTAAGCACATCGAATTGGATTGCCATTTTGTTCGTGACCATGTTCTTAGCATGACCATCTCCACCGCTCATATTGCTTCTGCAGATCAGCCGGCCGATATTTTTACAAAAGCATTTGGAAAGAAACAATTCAGTTATTTGTTGTCCAAGTTGGGAACTTCTCATCTACATTCTCCAACTTGAGGGGGAGTGTGAGGATATTTAGCAACAACCAATAAGTTGTTGATAGAATCCGATAGTTTTTATTAGGTTTACTTGTTGTTAGCTGTTTTGGTTTGTTATACGTTTGTTACTATTTCTTTGTAACAGTTTTCTGTAACTACGTCTATTTAAAAGACCTCAAGGAATTAATGGAAAGTAATTCAATTGCCTCAACATTTCATAACTTCCGCATTCTAACAGAGAGATATATATGATTAACATGTAAATTAAATTAATCACAACAAAATTACAGAGATATTTATTTGATAGATAATGATACAAAACTAGTAGCTACTTGATGATTTTCACGTTGAAGTTCTTCTCAACAAACTGTGAAAGGTTATTGAACTCGTTTTCCTCAATGAAACCGTCATGGTCGGTGTCTGCGAACTTCAAGGCCTTGTTGCTCTTCCATGAAGAAAAGAGAACGCCGCTTTGCCTTAAAGCCTTACTCAGTTCGGCTTTGCTGATTTGACCATCTCTGTTTGTGTCAAATGATGTCTTTAACCACTGCTTGAACTGCTGCAGAGTCATCACGCGCTTCCCATCATCACTCGGTACATCACGATCTTTAAAGGCCATGCCCTCACACAACGAAACCACTGGGTTTATTTTGCTGCGTGTGCTTGTATATGTTGTTAAATGTAAGCTTCCAAATATGGGTATCGTATTTATATTGCCTCATTTCATTTCGAGTATAATAAACATGCAGTAACATACTACTATTTACAAAGATGCGTACGTATATATGGAGTAGATAAACATGCCATTTGCTTTCTTTATGGGTCAACAAGATTCTCATTTTACTTTAAAAGATTATGATATCAGATAGATGCTATGCTGTGGTGGCTGTGACCTTCAAGCTAAAATCAATAGAAGCTTCAATAGGCCGAACAACGTAAGAGACTTTAATTTTATTTTGTTTATGTTCCTTTTATTAAAAAATAAAAAAATTATTAATTTTTCATTTAGATTCAATATTTAAGAAGTATTTATATTAAATATCACGCATAGCAAAATTGACTTACCATTTCATTATTTTAGAAGATGAGGATCATAAGTTTCGAAAATAAGTTAAAATGAATTTTGTTTTTCTTCTTTTAAATATTGCATCGAAATACACTTAAAAATCATTTCACAAACCGTTTAAATATATTGATGTGGAACAATGTTAGGTTGGTTGCTAACCAAAACAAAAATAAACTGTTATACCAAATAAATAAATAAATAAACCGTGACATTGATGTAGAACATTATGAGGATGGCTGCCGACCAAAATAAAAATTAAGGAGAAAAGGGAAAAGGAGTTTTCTTCATACGAAAAGTGAAAAAAGCAGCGGAGAAGAACAAAAAAACTTATGATATATATTAGTAGCACTTCTTTTATTTTATTTTTTCGTTCTTTTATAAGTCTTATATTTTTTTGACACGAGAATAATTTTTAAGCATATATTTAATATGATAAAAAAAATTTCAAAAAAAAAATGTTCTTAACAAAATCACAAATGGCTTAACATTTTCTCCGACATGAGTAAGGTAACACGTTTCATTTTAAAGATACTAATCGTTACTTTAGGAAAAGATTTTATCTAATCATAACGTTAAGTTTAATTAGTCTCACAAATATGCACGCAAATACGTAGTCAAAGATCAAAAGATGAATCATCAAGAGTACTCACAAATTAAGTAGAAGAATTTTATTTTATTTTGCTATCACTAAAAAACGTATATTCTAACTATTAAATCAATATCACGTTATATGCTGTACTTTTTCTAGCTACCAATCCAATCTTAAATCTTCCTGGACAAGTAATACAAAAGATTAAATATTCTTACTTGCCCAGGAAGGTTTAATCTTTCAAATTCGAATAGCATGTTGGCTTTTTTTTCTGCATTTACTTTATTCTGTTAGGCTTACTTTGACGTACGAATTAAGTTCTCGGGGGAACTATGGATAAAGGTATTAAGAGAAATATGTAGATAATTTTCTCATGTATATTCTCTTTACGGAAAATTATCTCATGTATACATGTAGGATGGAATCCATTTGTTTTCTTTTGTTTTAATGGATCTGATCCATTTTTTGTGTATTGTATGAGATAAAATTATATCATGCAATATAGAAACGTATTCTTATATAGGGCTTGTCTACTCTCATGTAATAAAAAAGAGCATATTTTATGCTAAGACACAAAATTTGGGGTCCATCATTAAAAAAGAGAGAAAATAGAAGCACAACTATGAAGGATCTATGACATAAGATACAAGTCCCATACGACATGAGACTTGTATTTCTTATATATATATATATATATATATATATATATATATATATATATATATGAGGTAGGAACCTTTGACACCAGTGTCAAATTTCAATTTTGACACATCATCTGAGGGCCGTTAGATCAAAAAAGATCAACGACTCTGATTTGCAAGCATGTGCAGTCGTTGATTTTTTTTTATCTAACGGCTCTCATATGAGGTGTCAAAATTGAAATTTGACACCGGTGTCAAAGGATCCTACCTCTATATATATATATATATATATATATATATATATATATATATATATATATATATATATATATATATATATATAATCCTTCACACCAGTGTCAAATTTGAAATTTGACACCTCATCTGATAGCCGTTAGATCAAAAAAGATCAACGATTCTGATTTGTAAGCATGTGACACCATTGAACCTTTTTTATCTAACGGCTATCAAATGAGATGTCAAATTTCAAATTTGATACTGGAATCAAAGGATCCTATCTCATATATATATATATCATTATTGTTTTGTGTTGCTGAAAAAAATTATCTTATGTCGTCCATTATAACTATGTATTCCAAGGAGTACATAGTTATAATATTAAAACGGTTTTTTTTATCTCTCCTGATCAGAAGTTGTCTGCTGACATAGAGAGAAAAAAATAATTTTAATATTATAACTATATACTCTCCGGAGTACATAGTTATAATGGGTAACATAAGATATATTTTTTTGCAGCAACTTAAGAAAAAAGGGATATATATATATATATATATATATATATATATATATATATATATATATATTTATCTCCTGTGTACACATAAAAATACGCCAGGCTATATTTTTTCTTCTCTCTCTTCTCCTTACACGTGGATCCCATACAATTTTATATGTGTGTAGATAGTTATAATTGGTAACATAAGATATATTTTTTTGCAGCAACTTAAGAAAAAAAAGGATCGATATATACATATATATATATATATATATGATTTATTATTTATCTCTTGCGTAAACATAAAAATATGTGAGGTTATATTTTTTTCTCTCTCTTCTCCATACATGTGGTCCCCATACAATTTTATGTGTGTATAGAAGATAAATTTATTTTCTACAATATGATAAATATTAAACCACACACACACACAGAGATATATATATATATATATATATATATATATATATATATATATATATATATATATGAAAAATCTTATGTTGCAAGATATGTTTTATCTTATGTTGTAGAAACATTCTCATGGGATCCACTATTTTTTTTTAAAAAGAAAATGTTGGCTTGATTGTCGGGAAGTATCTGAAAAAAAGGTGAAAGATATTCTGCAATAGGAGATTAGTTAAGCATATATATATATATATATATATATATATATATATATATATATATATATATATATATAAAGATATTTTGACACCGATGTCAAATTTTGAAATTTGACACTAAATCCTAACCGTTGATTTTCGTCAATCAACGATTATCATTTATTGGGAATCAAACTTATTAATTAACTATTAATTCCAAATAAATGATAACTGTTGATTGACAAAAATTAACGTTAGGATTTGGTGTCAAGTTTCAAAGTTTGACACCGTTGTCCAAAGATCTTGCCCTATATATATATATATATACATATATATATATATACATATATATATATATATATGTATATATATATATATGTATATATATATATATGTATATATATATATACATATATATATATATATATATACATATATATATATATATATATACGTTTATTGTTTCTTATGTTATAGGAGATAAATTTATCTCTTATACACACACAAAAATGGATGGGGCCCGTATTTTCTTTTTCTCTCTCTTCTCTTCATATCTGTCTCACATACTTTTGTGTGTGTGTAAGATAAAATTTATCTTCTACCATATATATATATATATAATGGAAAATATTTTCTCATGTTAGAAGAGAGTTGTTCTCTCCTATCAGTGATCCTTCGATTTTCTTACATTATTTTCTTTTGCTTTTTTATTTTTTTTAATAAATATGAACCTCGCACAATATATGGGCTTTTTGACCCTTTTGCCCCTAATTAAATAATTAATAACCAATTTTCCCCTCCCCCAGAACTATCCACCATCCTGCCCCCATTTAGTCGATTAAGTTGCACTTTTAATCGACTAAATGGGCTAAACTCAAAAATTATGAAACGCGAATTTTAGTCGACTAAAAACTCACCTTAATCGACTAAATTGTTTGCACTTTTAGTCGACTAAGCACATTATTTAGTCGACTAAAGATCGCAGATCAGGTTTTTAAAAAAAAACCCCATTTCGCAAAGGGGGTTATTTTGAACCCTAATCGACTAAATCGCTGCATTCCGTCCCCTCTCTCCAACCAAGTCCGAATCTCAACCCTTGAAGGTGCGATTGAAGCTTCCTTGGTGTCATGAAGGGCATAAACGCCACACTGAAGAAAATAGGAAAAATGGCGCTGAAACACAAAAAATGGAGGAAGAGTCACGTGCAGAAGGGAAATGAAAGATTTAGACATATACAGGGACGGTTCAAGGGTGTTGAAGATAGCTTGCTCGTCTAGAGCTTGGACGAGGACATCAGATTGAGGATGTTGCAGGGCAGGGGGCTGATGTGTCAGATGAGGATGACGAGGAGACGGCGTCCGAGGAGGATGAGGATTAGATTTAGGGTTTATGTTTCTATTTTACGTTTCTAGTGTATGTTGTTATGTAATTGACTTCGGTCTTCCTATTTGACATTTGTAGTTTATGTAATATTATGGTTATGAAATGAACTATTTGATGTTCCCATCATGTTGTGAACCGTTTACATAATTATTGCTGTTTTCTTGTTTACCAAATGAAGGAACAAATATCTTTTACCTTCTTGTTTTCAATTTGTGTCTAGTCACAGTCCAACGGGTCTAAAATGTCCAATGAAATTCAGAACAGGTGACCTTAACAGAGTTAAAAGAAGAACACAAGTTTCGGATACCCTAACTTGGAGCATTTATGCAGTACATGTACATTCGTGGTTTATAACCTGTACAATACTATTTTGTACCTGAAAGTGTGTTCCCCAAGTCATTATATGCGTGTACATTGATATTCGATCGGTTCCGTGCCAAAAAAATGCGTGCAAAACAGAATGGGGTGTCAAAACCAGTTATTTAGTCGAGCAACCTGTACTGGTTTAGTCGACTAAACCAGTACATGTTGCTCGACTAAATAACTGGTTTTGACACCCCATTCTGTTTTGCACGATTTTTTTTGGCATGGAACCGATCGGATACCAATGTACACGCATATAATGACTTGGGGAACAC